ATTTCTCTGAAATCCAAATGTAACTAGGAGTCCTATAATTTATCAGACAATACTACTCTTCACATTAGCCTATGAAGACAAAGTATATATTGCAAAATAAAAGGACATTTAAGGGTTGGCAGACAGAAAATGTGCCCTGATCCCAGAAACCTCTAAATCCTCACTCTCAGAGCTGGTACCTCCTCTGCCTTACATTTCATGACAACAAATGTGCCCACTACTCCTGGTGAGAAAAGCCACATGGAGTATAAAACCTCCCATTTACACACAGGAATGAAAATTATTCAGACAATCCTCCCTTCCTAATTTCAGATTTAAAAGAGCTATTCCCTTCTAACAAAGATTATGAAAAAATAAAAACGAAATAGTGAGGAAGCATTTTCTAGGAACAATTTTGGGTCTCCAGTATAATACTGCAAAACACAACCAAGAACTAACAGGCATCTGAGAAAATATCTCTAATATGATAAAGATGGAGATAAAAAAGAAAGGAAAAAGCAATTACAGAGGAAATCCATTATTCAGTAAAAAGGAAACACTGAGAAATTATCATTAATAGTCCTCAGAGACAAAAGATACTACAACCACAAACAAAAGCAGAATTCCATAAAGGAACACAGAACAAAAAAAAATTGTTACAATTTAAAAATATATAGTAGAAATGTAAAACTCAATGAAGATTTAGAAGATAAAGGTGAGTAAACCTCCCGCAAAGTACAGCAGACAAAAAGTAAAAAAGCAAAGTGAATCAAAGAACCAGTCTAGGGGCGCCTGGGTGGCTCACTGGGTTAAGCAGCCCACTCTTGATTTCGGCTCAGGTCATGATCTCAGGATCGTGAGACTGAGCTCCATGCCAGGCTCTGCACCGAGCATGGAGCCTGCTTAAGATTCTCTCTCCCTCTGTCCCACCCACCCACCAGTCTCTCCCTTAAAAAAACAAAAACAAAAAAAACAGTCTAAGAGGTCTAAAACAGAAACGGCAGGAATTCTAGAAAGAGTTAACAGATGAGGGTGATGTGTGATGAGGCAGAAAATTAACAAAATCAAGACAATGTCACTGGACTTAGGGTATGAGTTTCCAGAATGAAATGTGCCCAATAAGATGCATAAAAACAGACCCACACCAAAGCTACACTGTTAGGAAATTTCAGAACACAGGGGACAAAAATATCATACAAGCTTCCAGAGAGAAGGGTTTTATACAAAGGATCATGAAAACACATTTTCAAATATGTAAGATGTAAAAAAAAAAAATTTTTCTCCTGCACCCTTTTGCGGGAAGCTACTAGAGAACATGCTCTACACCAAACTGAGGGAATAAATTAAGAGAAAGACATAAAGTACAGAAAACAGGAAATCAGCGGGAGAAGCAAAAAGAATCCCAGGATAAGTAGAAGATCCCAGAATGATAATATGCAATCAGAACATACCAGGTCTCCAGTTAGAAGGCTCCAGGGTAGACTTCTTCAGGAGTTTGAAATTGAGAAAATGTCTGTCTGAACATCTGATAAGATTTACACAAATGATAGAGGGTTTGAGGTCAAATTAGCTATAAGTACATGAGCAAACTCAATAAATAAGACAAATAATCGATTAACTGCAGGGAAAAGGAGGAGTTGTTCAGGAAAGAAAGAATAATCACAGTTTACATGACTGAGCTCTGGTTAGCATTTATGTGGTCATAATAATGTACAACAAAATCACATAACTACATTTGGGGAGGATGAGTTTTGGGGGATGAGGACTGAGATGTGCATATGGTAAGGGTAGAGAGATAAACCTAAACCTTCAGCCTCTATAACAGAAAATTAGTAGAAATGACCTAAAATTGATAAAATGAAAGAAGCAATACAATTGTGTCATTAAAAAATATGGAAAGGTGCCTGGCTGGCTCAAGTCGGTGGAGTGTACAACTCTTGATCTTGGGGCTGTTAGTTCAAGCCCCACACTTGAGTGTAGAGATTACTTAAAAAAATAAAACCTTTAAAAAAATAAATAAAAATTTAAAATATGGAGATGACACCTAAAGGAGCTAGAAAAAGAACAAACAAAACCCAAAAGCAGCATAAGGAAGGAAATAATAAAGATGAGAGCAGAAATAAATGATTTAGCAACTAAAAAAACAATAGGAAAATAACAAAAATATGAAGAGAATTGTTAAAAACTCCGTTCAAAGTGCTTGCTTTTGTAGAAGGAAACAAGGCACTGGGAGCAGAAGCATGGTCCTTGTCAGAGAATTGACTCTTTATACCGTTATAACTTCCATAGAATTATTTGAGTTTTTAAGCTTATAACTTTCTTAAAAAGAAAAAAAAAAAAGCTGAAAAAGAAAAAATCCAGTCATCAACTATCCATCTCCCCAAAATCTTTTTTGTAAATGCCAATTTAATCTATAGTCTTCAACTTTATTTTAAATCTGCCTATCTTTAACGGTATTACATTGACCACTAAAGAACTGTTTTCAAAACCCTATTTTTGAAAGCATTTAGAAGAGTTCCATACCAACAATGTAGAGACAAGCATAACCCGCCATCCAGATACTTCATTAGGGCATATTTGTCTAAACATTTCTATCGGCATTTATATGTGAAACAATAATGGCTTATTATAAAGAAGACATAGCTGTATTTAACATGCCAGATGTAGGTAACTTTATTCAAGATTTTGACAAAAACTATCCCCAAAGCAATATAAATTTAGATACTTTTAGGAAGTCCAGATGTGAAACTCCAAGAAAATTTTGAATTCAGTCTGGAGTCAATACTAGGTCAGATACTGAACCAAACCCACAAATGATAAATACTACTTTCCTTCTTGGGTTCATTATATTTTCTGAAACAGGTTACCAAAACTCTCCTTTCTTTGATATTGGTATATGGAATCATTTTAACATGGTTTACTTCTTTAAGTTCTAAGTTTGTATTTATCCTGAATATCTTGTTGAAAATATAATCCAAATGTGATAACGCTTCCTTACAGAAGATTTCCAATTAGAAAATGTAGAAGAAATGAGAGAAACAGAAAATCACCATTAGAACACCACAGTAGTAACTGACACAAGCAAGATCTGGCAGTGGACACGAAAATGAGTGGGCAATAGTTTAAGCAGAAACATTTGCATAGTCTCAAAGTATCTCCAGCTAATATTTAGTCATTACAAAGAAAAATGTAGGAATTTTACAGTAGAGAATCCTAGCAGACACCACCTTAGATAGCGATTAAGGTTAACAACACCAGAAACACATTATGACATCAGGTGTCATGATACACTGTCACAGACCAGGAGGACACTATGGAGACATGACAACTAAATGCAAGGTAGAATCCTGCATGGGATCTTGGAACAGTAAAAGGACATCAGTGAAAAGACCAAGAAAATCTCTACTTTTTAAACTCTCTACTTGAGTTAACAGTATTGTATCAAGGCTAATTTCTTAATTTGACAATTGTTCTATGGTTATATAAGATGTTAACATAAGGGGAAGTTCAGTGAAGAGTATACAGAAACTACTAATTTTACAACTCTTCAGGAGGTCTAAAATTATCTCAAAATTAAAAAAAAAGCTGCTAAAAAACATACACACATATATATGTGTATAATGTGTGTGTGTGTGTGTGTGTGTGTGTGTAAAAATCAAGACTTCGTGGAAATTGGTATCTTGGATCCTCGGTTAAACAACAGTGTTCTCTCCTGAATTAGTCACTGAGTCATCACTGTCTCACTGGTTTCCTTTAAGTTGGCTTTAAGGTTCTCCCCCTTCTAAATTTTTAGTTTCAAGTACAATTTTCTAATTTTCATAGAAAGTCGTTTTTTTTTTTAACATTCCTCTATTAGGCCAAAAATTAAAATCCTAGAATAAAATTGTCACATTATCTCATAAAGTCACTCATCCCACCCATAAGCCCCAGCCAATATTTTTACTCCATTTCTTCTCATCATATATTTGTCTGGTTTTGTTTAAAAGGAGAGGAGATGGGAGTGCCTGGGTGGCTCAGCTGAGTCTTGATCTCAGGGTTGGGAGTTCAAGCCCCACATTGGGCTTCCATGCTGGGCATGGAGCCTACTTTAAAAAAAAAAAAAGGAGAGGAGATGACTGATAGATTTATTATCACTAATAGGCCTGATAGTCTAGAAAAAAGTTATCACTTGGATATCTTATTAAGAAACAGCTGTTTTTCCAATAACAGATACTGTATACTAGAACTCACTTAGATAGAAAAAGTAAGTCATTTACCTAAATCTCTTCCACACCATAACATAAAGCTACCCAAGCAAGCCCAGCTAAAACCCTTTCAATATCCCTTTCTTAAATCTGGCTCTGAAATGACCATTATCAATGGTAATAAACATCTTTTTTATACAACAATTTATCCTAGGGAAATAAAGGTAAACATCGAATCTACCTTTAAAAGAAGAAAATTTCCCACTCTCACTATGGCTGATTCATTCCCTGAGCACGAATCCTTTATTACCCTCATTGTTTTTGACTATAAACTGAGCTGAAATCTGCTCACAGGGATCTTGATGGTGAAACTAATTATTTTAGATAGAGAAACGCATTTCCAAATGGTCACATTTATTACTTTTGCAGTTATTTCTTCTCACTGTGGCTTTAATTTTGCATCTGTATGTATCATAATGCTCTACATGGAAGCAGCAGCAGTGAAAAGATAATTAAAGGATGGGGGAAGGAAATTTTAAGGTGGATCTTTATCCAAAAACAATAAAAAAGCAAAAAACAAAATGGCCACAAACATTTCATTCCTGTGCCCTTGCCATCTCCCAATTCGCCTTCCATTAACATGAAAAGGAGAAGTGGTAAAACTCTACCCTAATGATCTATACAAAAAAGGAGACAATTTACCTCAAGAACTCACTACACACTGCAATATATTCAAGTGGTGAAAAGATATAAAGTCATTCAGAACTGCCATACTATCTGGCTGTCAATATAGTCTCTTGAATAATTAAACATACTACTACAAAACATACCAAGAAGTAAAGAATAATACTATATTTGTGAACTGCAAATAACAAAACAAAACAGAGGTCCAAGAAGGCTAAAGTCCAAGCTGTAATTTACACATGAAGTGTACGTTCAAAGCAGTCACAATGTACAAAAATGTGACAAGTAATCCATATGGTTAAAAAAGCAGAGCCTGTTTGCCTCAGATTATATCCAGTCTCATCTGGTAGATTTTTGATAAGCCTGTTACATAAAGCGTGTTTCCCTCCTGCTGATAAGAAGCAGCTTGTAGATATCCACAAATTTCTTAAGGAGTGAGTCTACTTGGCAATAACGGTAACTCCACAGTTTCCTATTACATTCATTGGTCTGAAAACTGAAAACAACTCATAACTAAAATGTTCTTTCAAGTCCTTTACCAGTTTTTCAAGTTTTAATCAAAGGAAAGTTGGAATGTATTGCTTCTTGTCACCAATAAGCATTTCAAAAAGAGGGTTAATTAACCAAAATCAAGAGTTCTTTGGTCAAGTTAGTAACAGGCTTCCCCTTTGTTCTAAATCCTTCATAATCCTTTTTTTTCCAGTTTTTCCAGGATGGCCTGGATTTTACAAACAGCCTCTTTCCTGGCCTGCCGGACAGAGTCCTGGCCCCCAGTTTCAACTGAATCCAGTTCCAAAAGTTCCTTGGTTAGCATTTCTTCCAGAAGCCAGTATGCTTTGTCTGTCTTTTTCCCTACGAACTCTTCTACTTCTTGCTCAAGATACTGGACCTTCTCCAGCACATGTATAATTTTTTTAATACTTGGGGGAGTACCTTCATCTGAAGATAAACACTCTTCAGGAAGATTATCACTTTGATCTTGATTGCTGGGGTGTTCGTTGGTGGCATTACCATACAGCTGAGGCTCAGCACTATATTGGACTTGAGAATCCAAAAGATCTGAATTATCATTGTTCATTGTTCCCGAGGACTCGTACTGATGGACATTGCAAGGAAAGTTGTGCCGGTTCATGCCTTGATCTGATTGGCTATAGGGGTATGAGGCATCCTTGGAGTGGGAGAGCAAAGAGGGGAAAAGAGATGTTTTAATGGGAATCCATCAATATCAGATTTGTTAGCCCACATCTTTCACCTGACCATGAAGGGACATGAAAAGATTCCCCACTAATAAAACTGGACCTCCCTCCTTAATCATTTGAGAAAAACACAACCCTAAAAAGATAAAAGGAGTGCTCTGTCAAGTAAAAGGCAGAGAATTCCTGAGTATAATGGCTGGAATCTACCCTGAAGCGCTCATTGTCATGAACACCTCATAATCTATCCTTCCCACCTCACAATCCGCAGTGATTTAATAAATAGGAATTAGTTTTTTTCCCTAAAGAGTTAAAACCTTAAGACAGATCTTAAAAAGGATCCTAGCCATAGGCAAATGATGTTCAAGTCCATGGTTTATACAATTTCACATTGGTATCGTCTTCTGTCTACAGATTGAGGTAATAAAATACATCTTTGATTTTGTTTAATATTCAAATAGCAGTACAACAAACAGTAAATGAGCATTTTTCTGGCTTTTACAAAAAAGATGTGAACCTAAAACTGCTCTAAAAAATAGTTTGTTAAAAGAAAAAAGAAACTGGGCTACGTAAAGCTATAGGTAGTAATCACCAACTTTTTGCAATTAGTCCCCATTTAACACACACCAATGCAGAAAATTTCCATGTTGTGCTCTCTCAATTACCCAAACATCAAAAGAATGTTTAGAAGGTCTCCTACCTTGGGCTGATGGGGTGGTGGTGAAGGAGGTGACTGAGGAGAGCTGCTACTAGGCCATGGTGAAGTACTCTCACTCATGTAGAGATTCCCAGGTGGTGCTGAGGGGGCAGCTGAAGGCCAGGGGTAACGGGTTCCCATTCCATAAGCACCAGGAGAAGCCCATGAGTCCTCTTGTGGTCGTACAGTTGGTCCTGGTTGTGGAACACTACGATTACCATCCCCGTAAGGATAATGAGGCAGGGTCATTCCAGGGTTCTAGATTGAGAGGAAGGAAATATGCTGGTCATTGCTAAAAAAAAACCTTAAAATAATGAAAATACTCTAGTATAAACAGACTGAGATGTTTCCTCTCTGCTTAACAGAGTATACTTTAGCTGCTACTGAGGTAAGCTGCAGCATCTCTAATCAGTTGTAGTCTTTTCTCCAAGCCAAAAAAGAGCTTGGTTCGAAAGATACAAGGGCAGATTTAGTGACAATCAAAATCAGAAGGAGAAAGCTTAAAATTCAATGGCTAAAGCACAGCGTAAGTCTGTTCCATGATACTATAAATAAGTGGACCCATATGCTATAAGGAAACACAAATAAAAGATGTATTAGAGCTCCCCTTAAAGTGGTCAGAGAAATAAACATGGTATCACTCATAGAATTTTTTTTTAAAGTAGCCCAACGCAGGGCTTGAACTCACGACCAAGAGTCTGGACACTTAACCAACTAAGCCTCCCAGGTGCCCCTCACTCACGGAATATTAAAAAATAAAAACCCAACAGAAAACTGCTCACCTGTGAAGCAGGATATCCTGGAACCTGCCCCCTAAGAGGGGCTGCTTCAGTCTGGCAGTCCTGCTGAGGATACAGCCAACGAGAGACTGGGGCTGGGCTGTTGCCGGGTGAACGATAAGTGCTTGGAATCTCTGGGGAGTAACTGGTCTGAGTATATCCCGGTGTGTAATATGCCCCAGAGTATGAGGCAGTATTTGTCGCAGGACCGGTGGGGTATGGTGAGCCATATACTCCATTTGTATAAGAATTCAAACTCTATAAAAAAGCGAAGTTGAGAGAAAAAAGGATGACTGAATGGAAGAACTGAAATGCCCTGACTTAAAATGCAACTTTGAAAACTTTAGGAAGGAAAAAGATCAGTAACTAATGAAAATATGAACTCCCGGGGTGCCTGGGTGGCTCAGTCGGTTGAGCATCTGCCTTCGGCTCAGGTCATGATCCCAGGGTCCTGGGATCAAGTCCCGCATCAGGCTCCTTACTCAGCGGGGAGTATGCTTCTCCCTCTCCGTCTGCCTGCCACTCCCCCTGCTTGTGCTGTGTCAAATAAATAAATAAAATCTTAAAAAAAAAAAAAAAAAGAAAATATGAACTCCCTAAGCAATCTCTGAAACATTCTTCCTCTCATCTATTATGACCATATACCACATATTAAACTCAGATTATCACTGCAGAGTCTGTGTTCTAACAATGAAAGAGCATGTTGTGATGCATGATGAAGTGATGGCCTCAGAGCCACGCTTCCCAAACACTTCTGTAAGTATACCTAACAATTACACCTAACAGCGGAGAACTTGTTCCATTCCCCTGGGGAGGGGTTCTGGGAAACCGGGGAAAAGGGCTACACAGAGAAGAAAATAAACATGATACAACTGAGAGAAGAGAAGACTAGAGAGACAGCTCTGTGTTTGTGTCTGACCTCTACGGAGCTTTCATTTCTCCACCTGAAAAATGGAAATCATAAACTTACCTTGCAGGACTACTATGAGATGCTATGTATAAATGTTTAGTGTCTGGCACATAGTATGCTCAATAAATGGTAATTATTTATAATATCACTGTTGTTACTATTATTATTGCAAGATCAAGAAATGAAACCAGATCTGACCCCAAAGCCCATGTTCTTAGTACTATCCCACTCTGCTTCCCAAGTAAACAACAATAGACTACAGAGGCAAATTCTTCATATGTTGCTTACTGTAGTTTTAAATCACCTCTCCAGACTATTATTGGCACCCAGAATCCTAGTTTAGTTATCCAAACAAGATTAAAGCTAAATTTTAAACGGTAAAAACATAGAATCGAGTTTTCCCATACTCCTCTAAGATACATAATCTTTCCCGCTTTAGGTAAAAGAACAAGAAAAGAATCCCTGCGATGTTAACTAGACTTCACTGTGGTGATCATCTCCCATTGTATACAAATATTGAATCATTATATTGTACATTGGAACTAATACAATGTTGTATGTTGATTATGCCTCAATTTAAAAAAAGGCTCCTGGGCGCCTGGGTGGCTCAGTCGTTAAGCGTCTGCCTTCAGCTCAGGTCATGATCTCAGTGTCCTGGGATCGAGCCCCACATCAGGCTCTCTGCTCCACGGGAAGCCTGCTTCTGCCTCTCCCATTCCCCCTGCTCGTGTTCCCTCTCTGTCTCTCTCTCTCTAATAAATAAATAAAATCATAAATAAATAAATAAATAAATAAATAAATAAATAAATAAATAAAGGCTCCTGATAGCTTATACAGTTGTTAATGACTGAAGAAAATAATATTCAAATTTGATTCCTACCCTAACACATCAAAAATTGGGATGAATCAAAGTAGGAGGGTAGTCATAATTTTGTGGAAAATAAATTCTCAGCCATACTTTTATGGCAAGGAGATAAAAGACAGGCTATTATCACCACTTGGCCAAAGAACTGCATGCAGGAACAGGTGCAATGGAAGATCCAGCAAGGCACTCCCCAACCAGAAGGATGATGAACCACCCCTTTGTTAAAGCTATTACAGGGCTGTTAAAGTCATCCACCTAGATGTGCCTAAAAAAGAATCCTTAATATAACGTACACAGTTAGAAACTTGATAAAACATCATGTGACTTTTTGTACTGTTATTCAACTTCTAAATTTTTTTTTTTTTTTTAGATTTTATTTATTTATTTGACAGAGAGAGAGCGAGAGCAGGAACACAAGCAGGGGTAGTGGGAGAGGGAGAAGCAGGCTTCCTGCTGAGCAGAGAGCCCGATGCGGGACTCGATCCCAGGACCCTGGGATCATGACCTGAGCCGAAGGCAGATGCTTAACGACTGAGCCACCCAGGCGCCCGTTATTCAACTTCTAGAAATCCTTCCTGGGCGCCTGGGTGGCTCAGATGGTTAAGCGTCTGCCTTCGGCTCAGGTCATGATCCCAGGGTCCTGGGATCGAGTCCCACATCGGGCTCCCGGCTCAGCGGGGAGCCTGCTTCTCCCTCTGACCCTCTCCCCTCTCATGCTGTTTCTCGCTCGCTCGCTCTCTAAAAAATAAATTAAAAATCTTTAAAAAAAAAAAAAAAAGAAATCCTTCCTAAGAAGATTCAATTATAGAAAAAGTTACAGGCGTGAACTATTTATAATCACACAAAATTGCAAACAACCTAAATGTCCTGCAATATAATGCAATGACTGAGTACATAATGGGCTATTCATTGAGGGAATTTTGTCTTTAAATTCACTGCTAGAAGGGCACCTGGGTGGCTCAGTCGGTTAAGCGTCTGCCTTCGGCTCAGGTCATGATCCTGGGATCCTGGGATCAAGCCCTGCGTTGGGCTCCCTGCTCGGCGGGGAGTCTGCTTCTCCTCCGCCTCTCCCCTGGCTTGTGTTCTCTCTCTCTCTCACTCTCTCTCTCAAATAAATAAATAAAATCTTAAAAAAAAAAAATGCACTCTTAGAACTGACCATTTAATGATACTAAAGAATTATTTTTAGTTTTTTTAAGTTTTAATAAGTTGTTTTTAAAACTTATATTTTAAAGATACATATTTGAGTATTTACAAATAAAATAATATGTCTGGAATTTGCTTCAAAATAATCCAAGGATACAGATGAAACAAGATGACTGTGTATTGATACTTATTGAAGCTGAGATGAGTACACAGGAGATTACTGTGCTATTCCCATCCCTTCTGATTGTCTGAAAATTTCCTTAATATTAAAAAAAAAAGCAAAAAACAACTTCACCTGTTATTTCACCCTATAACATGGAAAGTACATATGATAAACAAAAAGTCATACAAAAAAGTGTATGTGTGGGGAAACTGGGTGGCTGTTGGTTAAGCATCTGACTCTTGATTTCAGCTCAGGTCATGATCTCAGGGTCTTGGGATGGAGACCCACATTGGGCTCCGTGCTCAGCAGGGAGTCTGCTTGAGATTCTCTCCCCTTCCTTCTCCCTCTACCCCTACCCCACTCGTGCGCAGTCTCTCTCTCTCTCTCCAAAATAAATAAATCTTTTTTTTTAAGTGTATGTACAGTAAGTTTAAAGCTGTATAAACATAATAGGGAAAGGGCAAAACAAATCTGCCAAAATACAGCTCTATTAGGATGGCAGAATTAGTGTTTCCCCCCTTTTCTTTATTTTCCAAATATTTAGTAATAAAGTTGTATTACTTTGGTAGTAAAAAAAAAAAATGTATGCTATTAAAAATGTCATGAAAGGGGCACCTAGGTGGCTCAGTCAGTTGGGCATCCGGCTCTGGATTTTGGCTTGGGTCATGGTCTCATGTTCTCAGGGTCAAGGGATCCAAGCTCAGTGGGGAGTCTACTTGTTGCTCTCCCTCTCCTCCTCCCCCAACTTGCATGTGTGCTCTCTCTCTCAAATAAATAAATAAAATCTTTTTTAAAAATGTCATGAAATCCCAAGTATGTCTAGAATCCAGTGGGCTGCTAGGACCACAGCAACTTCATCAGTGTCCAAGTAGACTATTTTAATGAAGGGAAACTTGTATCTAATGACAATAAGCTGCAATTTTAAAACGGTCAGCTGATATGCCAATAGATAAAATCTGAAACAGCAACTACAAGAAATAAATAAAATCTTTTTTCTTTAAAGATTTATTTTAGGGAGCCTGGATGGCTAGTCAGTTAAGCGTCTACCTTTGGCTCAGGTCATGATCCCGGAGTCCCAGGATCAAGTCCCGTGTCGGGCTCCCTGCTCAGCAGGGAGTCTGCTTCTCCCTCTGCCCTTCACCTCGCTTGTGCTCTCTCTTGCTCGCTCTCTCTCAAACGCATAAAATCTTAAAGAAAAAAAAAAAAAGATTTATTTTAGAGAGAGATAGAGAGCACAAAGGGGGAGAGGGAGAGGGGGAGAGGGAAAGAGAGCATCCCAAGCAGACTCTGTGCTGAGCATGGAGCCTGACTCAAGGCTTGATCCCATGACCCTAAGATCATGACCCGAGCCAAAATCAAGAGTTGGACACCAGCGCGCCTGGGTGGCTCAGTTGGTTAAGCGACTGCCTTCGGCTCAGGTCATAATCCTGGAGTCTCTGGATCGAGTCCCACATCGGGCTCCCTGCTCGGCAGGGAGTCTGCTTCTCCCTCTGACCCTCCCCCCTCTCATGTGCTCTCTCTCATTCTCTCTCTCTCAAATAAATAAATAAAATCTTTAAAAAAAATTTTTTTTTAAATAAATAAATAAATAAAAAGAGTTGGACACTGACTGAGCGACCCAGGTGCCCCAGAAATAAATAAAATCTTTGACAATTATTAAATTTCTGTAAAAGTCTCATTCTGGCTTCCAGATGAAATCAAGAATTTTTTCTGGAAACAGAAAAAATCCAGCTGCTACTCTTGTTCTAGATGTAAATACAGATATTACTTAGCATTCAAAAGTCAAAATAATGTCACACCATATGGGGTCTCATTGCAAGCTAAAGATCGTCCAATATGAATACTTCTTCCAAAAGTCAGTTTCACAGTTGATGGACTATTGTGTAGATACAGAATCCAAAGAGGAGAAAAGTGGTCAAGTCTCTCACCCAGAAAGTGATATACTGTTCAATGAATTCCCTGTCCATTCCACGGCAAACAGACCCAATACAAGCAAAAACAGATTACCTCTAAGCAACACAACTCCTCCTATTGTGCTTCTCATGAAAACCATGGAAAGTCTCACCACGTAAGTACTGCAAGAGTTCATAATTATCAGCAGTTGGTATCAACTCAAATTTCTCTAATACTCATTTTTGAAATTGCCAAATCTATGATCATCCATAGGTTGCCTCCTCATGCCATATCTCTACTTATAGAACTATTCCAGGGGTGCCTAGGTGGCTCAGTCGGCTCAGTCGGTTAAGCAGCTGCCTTCGGCTCGGGTCATGATCCTGGGGTCCTGGGATCGAGCCCCACATCCGGCTCCCTGCTCAGTGGGGAGCCTGCCTCTCCCTCTCCATCTGCCTGCCACTCTGCCTACTTGTGTTCTCTCTCTCTCTGTCAAATAAATAAATAAAATATTTTTTAAAAAAAACTATTCCAATTTTTGTCTCACTGAAGTTCCTAACTACAGTTCTTAATAGGCTACATTTTACAACTCAGTTCCCCTTCAAATTAAATGAAAAAGTGTCATAGGTTCTGACCAATGTCTTTTTGTATCATGGTTTCTCAATTCAGAATGCTATCTTCAGTTTTCGGGGCACCTGGGTGGCTCAGTTGGTTAAGCCTCTGCCTTCAGCTCAGGTCATGATCCCACGGTCCTCAGATCAAGCCCCGCATCAGGCTCCCTGCTTGGCAGGGAGTCTGCTTCTCTCTCACCCTCCGCCCCTCCCCATGCTTGTGCTCTCTCTCTCACTTGCTCTCTCTCTCTCTCAAATAAAGTCTTTAAAAAAAAAAAAAAAAGAACCTCAGTTTTCTTTGTTAGAACTTTGCCAGTTTCTCAAATTGTTAAACACCGCAGAGCTACTGTATGACCCAGCATCTCTACTCCTATGTATATAACGAAGAGATCTGAAAAAACTTATGTCCGCGTAAAAATGAGCACACAAATGTTTATAACAGCATTATTCATAGCAGCCAAAAAGTGGAAAAAAAAAAACCCTCAAATTCCTATCAACTGATGTTGGATAAAATAAATGTGGTATATACATAGAATGGATAGTATTTGGCCATAGAAAGGAATGAAGTATCAGTACATTGCCACAACATGGATGAACATTATGCTAAAAGAAAGAAGCCAGTCATAAGATATCAAATAATACATGATTCTGTTTATGTGACATGTCCAGAATAGGCAAATCCATAGAGATAACAAGTATATTAAAGGTTGCCAGGGGCTAGGGGAAGAGAAAAATGGTGTGATAGGTATACAGTTTCTAACTGGGGTGATGAAAATGTTCTGGAACAGTGATGATAGCTGCACAACCTTGTGAATAGACTAAAAACAACTGATGTGTACATTTAAAGGGTGAATTTTATGAAATATGGCCAAACCACAAGCATATCACATTAAGCAATAACAATGCCTGCTTCTCAATTTCAGTCATAGGAATGCAGATGACACAAGTAAAATGAAAGTCTGTGCTAAGATTTTTTTTATTTTGTATTCCACGATCTCCTATCAACTTTATCCTAAAGTTCAAGTACCCATAATCAGTATGAAAAATCAACTGTTTTTATGTTTTCTTTAAGTACATAAGTAAATCTCACTCTAATTTTAATAAACTCTTCTAGCTCAAAATCAGTTTTAAAGGAATGTATCACCAAATTAATGAGAAAAAGGGAACATGATTTTTTTAATGAATTAATTATTCAGCCCCATAAAGAAACTTATTTTCATTATTTCAGCCTCCATACCACCAGAAAATCAGAACAGAATTTGAATATATTATCTATTTGAAAACTATCAGGAGAATTACATTAGTATACTTTATGGTGATCTGAAAATTTAATTCTGCAGAGAACATCAGTTTACAGAGAATTCTGACCTCAGTATAAAATTCAAATTCTTTGAAAGCTGCTTAAATGTAGCCGCTTTAAAACTGTATATACTACAGGGGCGCCTGGCTGGCTCAGTCGGTGCAATGTGTGACTCTTGATCTTGGGGTTGTGAGTTCAAGCCCCATGTTGGGGGTAGAGATTATTTCTAAAAAAATTTGAATATACTACAATCATGTTTTTAAAAATTATTTTCAGGGGCACCTGGCTGGCTCAGTCAGAAGAACATGTGACTCTTGATCTTGGGGTTGTGAGTTTGAGCCCCACACTGGGTAGAGAGATTACTTAAAAATAAAATCTTTTAAAAAACAATAAAAAAAAAACTATTTGTATATAGAAATATGGTATCTAGACAGAAAAAAAATGGAAGGAAATATGCAAATGTGACAATTATTGCCTTACTAAGGTTGCCAGATTATGGGTGACTTTGTAAACATTCCCTCATTTCCACAACGGTATTGTGGAAAAATACTTTGGTTATATTTAATAAGCATACATACCAAAACTCCAAAATTCCATACCCCAGGGAAGTTCTTGCCTCAAATGTGTACAACAAAGAAGTGAAAAACAATGCTGAGTAAAAAAACAAGCTGGAGAATGCTAGTATGAAACCACTCATATCAAGTTTAAAAACATGGTAAAAAATACTATGTAAATGCACCATGTAGTACCAGCATAAAAACACATATGAGATAATAAATATAACTTCAGGAAATGGAAAGAAGTGTTATTTATATGTGGCTTCAATTGTATTTGTTTTACTTCTTTTTAAAAATCTGAAACAAGGGGTCCTTGGGTGGCTCAGTCAGTTAAGCGTCTGCCTTCAGCTCAGGTCATGACCCCAGGGTCCCGGGATCAAGCCCTGTATCAGGCTCCCTGCTCAGGGGGAAGGTTTCCCCTCTCCCTCTGCCTGCTGCTCCCCTGTTTGTGTTCGCTTGAGTTTTCTTTCTCTCTCTGTCAAATAAATAAATCTTTTAAAAATAATCTGAAACAAATGTAGCAAACTGAAAAACTGACAAAGCTAGGTGCTGGATAAAACGATATACAAATTTTCTGTACTTTTTCAGTATACTTGAAATATTTAAAATTAAGTATTTGTCATAAGAGTACAATTTATTTGACACCAAAAGGAAAGGCAACAAAAGTAAAAATAACAAGTGGAAGTACATCAAACTAAAAAGTTTCTGTACAGCAAAGGAAACCACCAACAGAATGAAAAGGCAACCTACTAAATGGAAGAAAATATTTTCAAATCATATATTTGATAAGGAGCTAATACCTAAAATATATAAGGAATTCAAAAAACTCAATAGGAAAAAAAGAAACAATCCTATTAGAATATAGGCAGACAACCTGAATAGACACTTTTCCAAAGAAGACATACAGATGGCCAACAGGTACACATCAAGATATCACCCCATACTTGTTAAAATGGCTAGTATCAAAAAGACGAGAAATAACAAGTGTTGGTGAGGATGTGAAGAAAATCCCTTGTGCACTGTTGGTGGGAATGTAAACTGGTACAGCCACTATGGAAAGAAAGCAGTTTGGAGGTTCCTCACAAAATTAAAAACAGAATAATCCAGCAATGCCACCACTTATAATATATCCAAAGGACACAAAAACACTAACTCGAAAAGGTATCTGCATCCCCATGTTCACTGCAGCATTATTTACAATAGCCAATACACGGAAGCAACCTAAGTGTCTATCGATGGATGAATAAAGAAAATGTGGTGTATACGTAAACAATTTATTATTATTCAGCCATAAAAAAGGAAATCTTGCCATTTGTGACAACATGGATAGAAATAAGTCAGAGAGAGAAAGACAAATTTTTTTTTTTTTACGATTTTATTTATTTATTTGAGGGAGAGAATGAGAGAGAGAGAGAGAGCACATGAGAGGAGAGAGGGTCAGAGGGAGAAGCAGACTCCCCGCTGAGCAGGGAACCCGATGCGGGACTCGATCCTGGAACTCCAGGATCATGACCTGAGCCGAAGGCAGTCGCTTAACCAACTGAGCCATCCAGGCGCCCGAGAAAGACAAATATTATATGATCTCACTTATATGTGGAATCTTAAAAAAAAAATCCTACATTCAGAGAATAGACTAATGGTTGCTAGAGGCAGGGCCAGGGGTACAAATGGGTGAAGGAGGTCAAAAGGTACAAACTTCTAGCTATGAAATAAGTAAGTCATGAGGATGTAATATACAGCATAGTGACTGCAGTTAATACTGTATTGCATATTTGAAAGTTGCTAACAAAATAAATCATAAAAGTTCTTATTAGAAGAAAAAAATTGTAATTACATGTGGTGACAGATGTTAAATAGACTTAATTGTGGTGATCATTTCACAATATATACAAATATCGAATCATTACATTATATACCTGAAACTAATATGTTACATGTCAATTATATTTCAAAAAAAAAGTCAAAACTTAAAAAGTAAGTATAGTGTATGTTTATTGTTTCCAGGTCCTAAGAAATAATCTATTATGCCTCAAGCTACCTTTGCTATAGATAATATTTGCCTAGATATTTCCTTACTTCTGAGCTAAAAACATTAAGACAGAGTCCATTAAAGAACAAAACTCCACACACTGCTACTATGAAATCGCCACAGGTTTTGAAAATAAATCAATACATTAAGAAAAAATTCAGGGCGTGCCTGGGTGGCTCAGTAGGTTGAGTGCCCAACTCTTGGTTTCAGCTCAGGTCATGATCTCAGGGTCCTGAGATCGAGCCCCAGGTCAGGCTCTGAACTCAGCCTGGAGTCTGCTTGAGATTCTTTCTCCCTCCCTCTCCCTCCCCCTCTACTCCTCCCCCTACTTGTGCTCGCTCTCTCTAAAATAAATAAATAAAATCTTTAAAAAATAAATTCAGGGGGTGCCTGGGTGGCTCAGTCATTAGGCATCTGCCTTCAGCTCAGGTCATGATACTAGGGTCCTGGGATCTAGCCCCACATCAGGCTCCCTGCTCAGCAGGAAGCCTGCTTCTCCCTCTCCCACTCCCCCTGCTTGTGTTCCCTCTCTTGCTGTCTCTCTCTCTGTTGAATAAATAAAATCTTTAAAAAAAAAATAATAAATAACAAATAAATAAATAATAAATTCAGGAAGTCAGTCAATTTTAGATCATACCTGGCCTTGCATTTCCGGTCTTACGGGATATGTACTTGGGTATGGAGCCCTAGGTCGTGCAGGAGAATTCCAATAGTTAGAATTGTAGCTAGAATATGGTGGCTGGTCCTAAGGGGGAAAAAAATCACTTTTAATAATATTCTTATATCATAATGAATAGTTGACAGAGGCAGCTATAATTATTTTTAAAAAAAGCAAGAGACAAAAAGCAATAGAACCGTACTATAAAATCACTCATTATTAAATTCTCATTACCAAATTGATACAGAAATACTATATGGTAAATCACATGCCCTAGAACAAAGCAATTATTGACTATCTATTAAAAGCCTGTTCTTATGCATTATGATGCCAAATGATATATAAAGGAATTCTACTATGCCAACATGATTAGCAAAACCAGAGACCTAGATTCCTTTACCCCTCTCCAATCACCAACCCCGTCACTACCAATTTAATTCATGCAACAAGATTATAGTTCTTCGCCACTGGTAAGAGCAATATATGCCTATCTTACCAACTCTGGAGCTTAAAAGTATTACTACTAAACTTTACTTCAAACATATAAATCTTCAATACTCCTTTGCCTGTCATAGTAGTTTATTTTTGTTTTTTTGTTTTCTTTTTTAAGATTTTATTTATTTGAGATAGAGAGTGAGAGCACAGCCAGGAGACAAAGGGAGAGGGAGAAGCAGGGTCCCCACTGAGCAGGGAGCCCGACACAGGGTTCAATCCCAGGACCCTGGGATCATGACCTGAGCCGAAAGCAGCCGCTCAACCAACTGAGCCACTCAGGCTCCCCATGTCACACTAGTTTTTTTCATATTCCTGTACTTTCTGTTATGGCTACGTTTCTGCTGACAGCCTACAACTAACCCAAGTATCAGGAATTGATAAAGAACAATTGACACTCCAAGAAGAAAATCTAGCTATAACGTTAATCTCTACAGCTTTGCACTCCAACTCAAGAGTTAAAGCAATGATTTGCAGTAAGCCAATAAACTCCAAGAGACCAGATCAACTCAAAACCTTTTAGAGTCTAGTTTAATGTATACATGTTATCCTATAAGTTATTTTGCTTTGAACTTTATAGTTTTAGTTTTAAGCTTAAACAAGATCTTCAAATTGTTTCACAAAGAAATTCATTGGCAGTTGTAATCACTGAGAGTTTAATTATCACCATCTTAGCTTAACTGCACTACTTACCAGTTTCATAATGCTTTGTTTTCAAAGCACGTAATTATTCCATATGACATTATACAAGTTGGGCAAGTAGCATCTCCTTTACATAATATAGAAATTAGAGAATAACAAGATTTAAAAAAAATTTTACAGGCAAACTTCAAAGTACTAAATTTCTCAATCAGGCAGATGCCGCCAATTAATGCTCTCCCTTCCTTTCTCTGGTTAAAGGGTAAGTATTTGACTAATTGATTTCTCTCTACCAAGAATCTGAATCTTGAGTAGTAGAGATGAAAAGAAGAGTTGAAGCTGACTCACCCCAGCAGTGGTGAACTAATACCTAAATCTCCAGAACTACCCTGGTTTCTGTTCTCTCCTACTGACTGACTCTCTGGTACTCCACATTTTCACAACTTCTTCACCCTCCTATCCCTCACCCCACCCATGTCCTCACTTCCTTCCTTAACTCAGCTTCCCAAAACCTAATCCTTTGCCACTGCTTCCCTCAGATACACTCACCCTGAAAAAACTCAACCCAGTTTAAACCCAACTGTCCCCTGCCTTCACATCTGCACTTCCTCTAAACACTGGTGGAGAGGGGCACCTGGGTGGCTCAGTCATTAAGCGTCTGCCTTCGGCTCAGGTCATGATCCCAGGGTCCTGGGATCGAGCCCCGAATCATGCTCCTTGCTCAGCGGGAAGCCTGATTCTCCCTCTCCCTTTGCCAGCAGCTCCCCCTGCTTGTGCTCTCTCTCAAATAAATAAATAAAATCTTCAAAAAAAAAAATTTTTAAAAACAACACTGTGGGGCAGGGACTCAAGGCAGACTTCCCTTAAATATACCATGTTTAGCACATCTGACCTTAGAACAATTGTAAATATTTCACATAATTATAGAAAATGACATATTTTTAAATCCCTAAAAAAGTAACATAACCACTGCCAAATCCAAAGTAATGAAGTTTTTTTTTTTTTTTAAGAATTATTCATTTGACAGAGAGAGACACGGTGAGAGAGGGAACACAAGCAGGGGGAGGAGTGGGAGAGGGAGAAGCAGGCTTCCCGCTGAGCAGAGAGCCCAACGAGGAGCCCGATCCCAGGACTCTGGGATCATGACCTGAGCTGAAGGCAAATGCTTAACGACTAAGCCACCCAGGCGCCCCCAAAGTAATGAAGATTTACTCCTTGTTTCTTCTAAGAGTTTCACAGTTTTAGCTCTTACATTTATGTCTATGATCCATTTTGAGCTAACTTTTATACATGGTGTGAGAGTCCAACTTTATCGATTGTATATGACTATCCAGTTGTCATGGTATTGTACGTTGTACTGTAGACTACTCTGTCCCTCTATTAAATGGTCTTGGCACCTTTACCAAAAATCACTTGACCACAGACACATGAATTTATTTCTGGACTCTCCATTCTATTCCATATAGACATAGGTTACATACATCTTTTTCTTTCTTTTTCTTGCCCAATTGCCCTAGCTAGAACTTCCAGGACAATGTTGAATAGCAGTGGCAAAGGAAGATATCCTGGTCTTGCTCCTGATCTTAGGGAAAAGCATCCAGTCTTACATCACTAAACATGCGGTTGGCTGGCTGAGGGTGTTTTACAGATGCCCTTTATCAGATTGGAGAAATTTCCTTGTATTCCTGGAGTGATTTTTATCAAGAAAAGTGTTGGATTTTGTCAAATGCTTTTTCTACATCTATTGAAATAATCACAGAGGCTTTGTTTTTTGATTGATATGGTATATTACATTGATTTTCAGATGTTAAATCAACTTTGCATTCCTGGGATAAATCCCACTAGGTCATGGTATATAATTCTTTTTATGTGTTGCTGGATTTGGTTTACTTTTTTTTTTTTTTTTTTTTTAGGACTTCTGCATCCCTATTCATAAGAGATATTGCCCGTTTTCTTTTCTTGTGATGTCTTTGGTTTTGGTATTAGGGTAATAATTGCTTCACAGAATGAGTTTAGAAATGTTCTCTCCTATTTCTTAGAAGAATTTGTGAAGAATTGGTGTATCAGTTCTTGAAATGTTTGGTAGAATTCAGTAGCCCACCTGGGCTTAGACTTCCTTTGTGGGTAGTTTCTGTTTTGTTTATTACCAATTTAATTTCTTTACTTGTTATAGGTCTATTCAGATTTCCTATTTCTTCTTGAGTTAGTTTTGGTAGTTTGTATCTTTCTAGAAATTTGTCCAACTTCTTCTAAGTTACGTAATTTATTAGCATAAAATTATCCAACAGTTTTCCATTATGATTTTTATTTCTGTAAGATCAGTAGTAATGTTCCTTCTTTCATTTCTGATTCTAATAATCTCTCTCTCTTTTTTCCTGGGTCCATCTAGCTAAAGACTCATCAATTGTGTTGCAAAGAACCAGCCTTTCCTTGCATTGATTTCCTCTACTGTTTTTCTATTCTCTTACATTAATTTTTACTCTTCGAGATGCCAGGCAGGTACCCCAACACTCATCATTTCCTTCCTTCTGTTTGCTTTAGGTTTAGTTTGCTCTTCTTTTTCCAGTGTCAAGATGGAAGCTTAGGTTATTGATTTGAAATCATTATTCCTTTTTTTTTTTAAAGATTTTATTTCTTTTTTTTTAAAGATTTTATTTATTTATCTGACAAGAGAGAGACACAGCGAGACAGGGAACACAAGCAGGGGGAGTGGGAGAGGGAGAAGCAGGCTTCCAGCAGAGCAAGGAGCCCAATTTGGGGCTCGATCCCAGAACCCTGGGATCATGACCTGAGCCGAAGGCAGATGCTTAACGACTGAGCCACCCAGGCGCCCCTAAGATTTTATTTCTTTATGGGGGTGGGGGGAGGAGCAGAGGGAAAAGGACAAGCGGACTCCACACTGAGCCCACTCAAATGGGGCTCAACCTCACCACCCTGAGATCATGAGCCAAAACCAAGAGTCAGGCGTTTAACCAACTGAGCCACCCAGGTGCCCTGAAATCATTATTCTTTCTTAATACAGGCATTTATAGCTATAAATTTCCTTCCAAGCAGTACTACTACTTTAGCTATATTTTAAGAATTTTGGTATACGGTCTTCATTTTCATTTATCTCAAAGTATTTTTTAATTTCCCTTTTGATTCCTTCTTTGACCTGCTAGTTTAGGAGTGTTTTATTTAAGGGACACTTGACTGGCTCAGTTGGTAGAGCGTGTGACTCTTGATCTTGGGGTTTTAAGTTTGAGCCCCATGTTGGATGTAGAGATTACTTAAAAATAAAATCTTTAAAAAATATTAAGGAGTGTTTTATTTAATTTCCACATAGACGTGAATTTCCCAAGGTCTTTCGTGCTATTAATATCTAATGTCTTTACATTATGGTTGGAGAACATCCTTTGTATTATTTCTATCCTTGTATACTAAGATTTGTTTTATGGCTAGCATATGGTTTATCTTGAGAATGTTCCATGTGTACTTGAGAAGAATATATATTCTATTGTTGGGTGGAGTGTTCTATATATGTCTGTTAAGTCTAATTGATTCACAGGGTTGTTCACATCTTCTATTTCCTTGTTGATTTTATTATCTAGTTGTTCTATCCATTACTGAAAGTGGAGTACTGAAGTCTCTATTATTGACTGATAGTAATTGTTGAGCTATTATTGAACTATTTTCTCCCTTTATTTCTGTAAGCTTTTCCTTAATGTATTTGGTATTTTGTTATGAGGTACACATATTTTTATAGTTATTATATCTTCCTGATGGATTACCCTTCTTATCACGTCCCACTTTATCCCTAGTAACATCTTTTGTTTTAAAGTTTACCTCTTGGATACTGTATAGCCACTACAGTTTTCTTCTAGTTACTGTTTGCTTATTTCTTTTTCCTCTTTTTACTTTTAAACCATTTGTATCTTTACATCTGAAGTGTGTCTCCCACAGACAGCTGAGAGGGA